GGGCCGCGGGGAACCCCGGGCGGGACGCGAGCGCAGCCCCTTGGGCGCCCGGCCGCGCGCCCCGGAGCCGGCGGGCATGGAGCCCTGGAAGCAGTGCGCGCAGTGGCTGATCCACTGCAAGGTGCTGCCCGCCAACCACCGGGTGACCTGGGACTCGGCGCAGGTGTTCGACCTGGCGCAGACGCTCCGCGATGGGGTCCTGCTCTGCCAGCTGCTCAACAACCTCCGGGCGCGCGCCATCAACCTGAAGGAGATCAACCTGCGGCCGCAGATGTCCCAGGTGAGCGGCGCGGCGGCCCCGGCCCCTGCGCGTCCGGCTAATTTCTTTGTGTGAATGCAAACGTCTAGGTGCGCTCCGCTCGCCCGCCCGCCGCCCGGACCCTGGGCTGGGGACCACTTCAGCTTTGCCTGCCCGGGCTTGGAAAGGCTTCGCTGTCCAGCTGAATGCTTGCCCCGCGCCGGGAGGATTCTGGAAAGGCTTGCAGTGAGGAAGGAAGAAATAAGTTCTCTTAGGGTGCCCTCCACCTACTGTGTGTGTGTGTGTGTGTGTGTGTGTGTGTGTGTGTGTGTTTAGGGCAACAAAGGGAATTAGATCCAGCGCTTGTGTAGTGACAACGACAGCAGATGAAACGAGGTGAGGGCGCAGTTTTGCTTTTAGTTTGTTCTTTGACTTCACATCTTATCCTCACGTTCTCTTGAAAGAGGAACCAGCTCATGAAAAGGACTCTAGGAAGTGGAGGGCGTTCGGTACCGTTATCTGCACCGGAATGACACTGGCCAAAGGAAGGAAGAGGAGCTGGACGGACGCGGGGTGTTCTCCAAGGCCCCCCGACCTTGTGGCCAGCAGGCATGCTGGGTGCTTGTGTTTACGGCGCTCCTCACCCGTGTGAGAAGGAGCTAGGGCAGCCTCTCTCAGGCATGCCAGGAAATGCGAAGTTTCGCTCGAGATTCCGCTTTCTTGTATTTTGTCCCGTGCTTAGTTGGTGTGGTGCAGGCTCGGCTCCTGGCGCTGGAACCTTGCTTGTTTGAGCGTTTTAAAGTAAAAGCAGCTCTGCGAAGCTGTGTGCTCTTGTAGTCAGCTCAGCAGTCACCATGCAGTGGAATAGTGGCTTCTTGGGCTGCTCGGAAAGTTTCTGTTCAGAAAGATGTTACAGCATGATTCAGAGCCTCGTTTTTTTCTTTCACAGTGTGAAAAAATGCTTTCAACTTAAAAGCTAGAGGAAAGTCCTTGTTGTGCCACATTTAAGCACTAAATCCTGTATGATGTAGATCCTCAGTTACTTGGCAACCAGGAGAGTGGCTTTTTAAAAGCAACCAACTTCATACGATTTAATAATTACATAAAGTTATTGCACACAGTCTTATGTGAGTCCTATGTCCTTGTTTCATGAAGGTACCCTGCACTGTAAGTCAGGCCCCTCTTGCCTGTCTTCTGGCTGGGGGGCAGACCCCAGGAGAGAGAGGCATTATGAAGGGTGAGAGCTGTATGTATTCCAGCGCCAGGTAAATTATAATCTCCTGTGACCTGCATCGTGGTGGCTAACTCTCTTGTTCCAATTCTGGATGTTCCTAGCAGACAGTTCGTTATGGTGGGAGTTGCTGTTCTGAACAAGCTTCTGTCTGGAGTTCAGGCAGTTGGTTATGGGTCTCGCAGACTCCTGTTTTCCACCTTAGCCAGGAGCAGGATTATGGTTCTGTGCACCCTTCCCAATACTTCAGTTTCCTGGAACTTTCTGCAGTTGTTCATTAAGTTATTCCCAATAATTGGGTTTCCCAGGGCCACTGAAGATCTCTCTTTTTAACTCTCAAAACTTTAATTGGATGTGAACAGTAGATGAAAGATTTTTCGAAATGTGTTTTGCTTGCTTTTCTCTTAAAATATATTAGATGTAATTTAATCTTCTTGAGGATTAAGGATTGCCATTATAAGCCTCATTAATGAAAATTGAGCATGTTCAATTCTCCAAGCACTCTATTCCCTACTGAGGGTACCGCAGTGAGCATACCAGGATACCTGCCCTGGAGGAGTTATTACACTGCTATCAGATGAACCCCCCTAGACTAGGAGGAGGTAAGTAGGACAGCTAAATGATCTTCTGTAGGTTGCTGTGCTTTGGAGTTCTTAACTCTTCCCAAATCTTGAGCTTTCTAGTTCAGCTGAGTTTTCCTTGTAATGTACTATGAGCAGGTGGGTGCTTCTTTCCAAGAGGAGGCAAGAGCCTGAATATTGAGTTGTCTCCTTTTGTGTCGTGTTTGGTGCTGGGCCACATTGCAGACAGCTAAGGTGGCTGAATAGCTGAGAGCTGGGCAGATAAGTTTGTATTTCATAGGTTGCTATTGAAGCCTTAAATGAGTCTTATTGGATGGTCCCCTAAAATACATCGACATATTTAACGTGCCTGCAGTGCTCAACACACCATTTATGACAACAGAGTCACTTTTGTGCTATCATCAAGTGAAGGGTAAAATATTTTAATGAAAAAATTGAAAATGCAGTTTTGAAAAACTTTACAGGTTCCCTTGGTTGACATCTCTAATAAATCTTTCGTCCTCGTATATGTCTAGGGAAAGGCTGTGGCTGCTTCTGGTTGTGAGACTCCTACCCATCAACTTCTGAGAGGGTACAGGTGGTGGCCTGTCCCTCCGCTGCACCCCTGACAGCCATCCCCTCTGAGGCTGTGCTTCTGGAAGTAGAGCCGTTCCTAGTACCTGCTGCTTATGTGATGTCAGAGTTGTTCTGACCTAGCGTCTACCCTGATTTATTTTGCCGAAGATAATCATTTGAAACAGGCTCTTCCCTTTTAGCTCCTGCTCTTCTGGAGAAAGAACTAACTGGATGCTCTCGTTTCAGAATTTCATTGCATTCCACATGTTAGGAGCAGATCTGCTGATGACAGAACCTTTCATCTATTGATGCTTTGCTCATGGCCTGCCTTTAGTTTTCCCCAAAGAGGCTGTAAAATGACTAGCTTCTTTTCATGTGTTTGTCCATTGAGTGGGATGTTCTTTCATTTTGTGTCAGCCTTCTGCTTTGTTTGCATTAGAAAAATAAATAACCCTGCAAACAATGATTGCTTAATTATAGGTTTGAATTATAGACTCTTGATAAGCTAATTGGGTCTTCCAGATAGAAGTGTAAATGTGATTCCTGGCTGTGGGCCTCCAGTTCCTTGTGGTCTTGTCATCTTGGGTGGATGATCTTTTTCTGTTCAAAAAGAAGTATATTTTTAACACTGATTTAGATTTTGTTTTTATTTATAATGGGTTAAAAAGGTTAACATCACATTTAATTATATTTTAGCATGCGCCTTTTATTATAAAGAATAAAGTGAAATACAATGCTGATGGCCATGGAAAATCGAAGCCGTTTTGTGCCTGTATATATTAGATACATTTATTTTTCATCTGAAATAGTACTGTGGCCAAGGCACAAAGCACACAGAGGATTCTGGCTAGAAGCCTAATGCAAAGGTTGCCCTGGGGTGCCTTGAGGGAGCACAGGGGCTGTTGCCTCACCGTTGTTTGCAGTGGCTGAGAAGGACTCCATCAGAGTCTGTTACTGACCATAGAACTGTCACTGATGGGAAGAGTTTAGTCTCTTTATTTTGAAATTTAAATATTTGGTTTATGCTATGTCTTAGAGTGGTAGTGTTACGTTTGATGAGTTTATTAACCATTATATGCAGTATATGTAAACTTGGAATAGGCTTAAATTATGTTACTCAGGCTTCAAGTGTTCCTTCAGCGGCTGTTTATTTGTGCCTACTATGTGCCAGGCATTATGCCACTAGCTTGAAGCAGTGCAAGGACTGTAGTCCTGCCCCCAAGGGACCTACATGTTAGTGGAGGACATGGAGCACGGAAAGTGCGTGGCTGTGCAGCGGAAGGGGCATGAGGACAGCTGAAGATGTGTAAGGGAGTAGAAAGAAATGCATTGAGATTTAATAGAAGGTAACTTATGCAGTTAATGGAAGGTAGCCAAGAAAGCATTCTCTGACAGGATGACAGGTGAACTAGGCCTACGTAGGGCCCTGAAAGGAGTGAGGCCATATGGGCAAAAGGCATTCCTAGCAGAGGAGACACCAAAGCTGAAGGTCCTGAGGTAACTAGGAGCAGTAGCCTAGAGACACTCATGGGAAAGTGTGGTGGGGAAGAGGTCCAAGGGAAACCTCCAAGGTTTGGAGGCCCTTGTGGGGACTTTGGCTTTCACTCTCAATGAAATGGGAAGCCAGCCAAAGGTTTGAGCAGAGGCTGACCCGACCTGACTTACCTTCCCCACAGGATTGCCCTGTGATACTGTGAGTGCACTGGAGTTACAGGGTTGGAGGCAGCTGGGCCGTGCTGCCATTCAGACCAGAGGCCCACAGCCCGGGCCGAGCAGCAACAGCAGATGGTGAAATAGGAGAGCTCGGAGTGTATTTGGAAGTGCGAGCCCACAGGGTTTTATTGATGGGCTCAGATGAGGGGTATGAGGAAGAGGGGGAGGAGTCAGGAACGAGCTCCTGGAATGGTGGAGTTGCTGTCTACAAAGTGGAGAAGAACAGAGGCAAATAGCTTTGGGGGTGTAAGCGATCAGGAAGGGAGGACCATCTGGTGCTAGTTGTGGCCAGGTAGACATCTAGGCAGAGATGCCAATTGGGCAGTCGGAAAAGTTAGACAGGTAGATGTAGAACTTGGGCTTAATAAGTTATGGATGTTCCTTCAAATCATGAGATTGAATTATGTCATGTAGGAAATAGTGTAGAAGAAGAAGAGGTCTGAGTGAGCTTCGGGCATGCCTGCCATTGAGGGTGGAGGAAGGGGAGTCGAGAGGAAATGATCATGAAGTGTGGAGGAGACTGCATGGGGTGGCTCTAGGGAACCCCTGAGCAGTCTTTCAAGGAGGAGTGATCTGATGTGTCATATGCTGCTGCTGCTGCTGCTGGATCAAGTAAAGTAGGACTTAGGATGGAGTATTGATTTAAGTCACCTACAATTTCTTGGTGACCTTGACAAAGAAAAACTTGATGTGTGGTGGTCAAACATTCTAATTGAGAAGAAGAGAGAATAGAGATGATCAAGACAACAAGTATAGACAGCTCTTTGGGGGTCATTTTGCCATAAAGACAGAATAACGAGGTAGTGGCTAGTAGAAGAAAAGAGGTCAAGAGAAGTTTATTTTCTTATTGTGTAGATTTTTTTATACTTTTAAAAGCACTCTTTTAGATTTAGACAGATTTTTTCCATATTCTCTTGAGTGTGTGTATATATATGTGTGTATATATATGTATATATAGTATG